GCGGCCCCGCGTGTCCACCCCCCTGGCCCAGAGCTGTCCACTTGCTCCTCGGCATCCCGGCTATCTTTAGCAGCGCCCGCCATCTCAGACAAGTCCGGCCTTGGAGCACGCGGCTTGTTCCATTTTGCCTTGGCCACAGCAAGTCTGCCCAGACCAACCATTGCCAGAGCAAGCAACAGGCAGCGCAGATCATTGCTAGAGCTGCTGGTCACACTTCTGCGAGACCTCTATGATTCCTACAGGCATGGCTGAAAACCTACAGATACGCACACTCGGGCAACCTGACCAACTATGCACAAGAGTAGTAGACGCTCCTTCTTCTTGAGCGCCCCGGGCGCCCGGTATTCCTGTACGAAAAGCCCTCGACATGCAACAGCACGGGACGCAACAACAACACTGCCCCCTTCCAACCAAGACCAAATAGCCAAGAGTTGGTTCAAAGAAAAAGCCCAAGGCCGGCAGCGAGGGTGTGCGCGGCTTCGCTGGCTCCCCGCGCTCCAATCCTGCTTGGACACACGGCGCTGGACACACGCGCGTCCCGCGGAGACAAGCCAAGTAGCCGTCCTGCTGCATGCAGGGTCTGTTGCAATGAGGCCCAGGCCCAAGCGCCTGGCAAGCTCACAGCAACCAATCTTGAGCAGAAGCTGCACCAAACGATTCTCTCCAATCAGAGTCTCGCTTGGGCTTAGCAGGCACACGAATTGTATTTTTATTTCCGCTGTTATTGCATGCTCTTGGTCTGCTCGTTGCGGGGGCATCGCTTTGCACGCTCTGAGTTGCGCTTCCTTTGTTCTGTTGGCATTGTTGACCCTCAAAAGAGGCAGTTTTCTTGCAGGTACGCTGCTATTGCATGCTCAGCGCTGGTCATGTTGATCTGTTCTTTGTCATTTTTGATCGGAACGGGTGCAGTGTTCGAATGTTCCACTTGACTTGCACGCGCTGCCATCGCAGGCTTAGGGCCGCTACAAATGCTGCTGTGCCTGCTCCGTGTCTATTTTAACACTGAATGGAGGCAGCTGTTGCACGTGTTCAATTTCACACGGCAGAACACGCCCTGAGTGGCTCTTGATCTGTTCTTTTGCGTTTGTTGGTCCATAATGGAGGCAGTGTTCGTAGGTAAGGGGGACTTGGTGGACATGCTTCTCTCCCATTGTCCGGGGTTTTGATTTTCTCCCAGCGTCAGGCCCTGGCCGGCTTGTTAAATCCATTGCAGGCAGATCGAACAATTCCTTGCTAAATCCTGATGGGTGGTTCAATTGCGGGCAAGTGGCATCTGCACAAGTACGCAATACGGACGAACGATCATCTGCAGCAACCTCCGCTTTCCCGTCATTGCGCGACTAACTTCTCTAGGTGCGTTTATGGGATCCTCGTGCATGGATCCGTCTTCAGCCGCGACACAAGAACGGTAGTGACCTCCTATGCTGTGATGGGAAAGGCAGATGGCTGCGAGTGAGCATAGCCAAAAGACCGGCAAAGGTTGGTGTGATTCTTTAAACAGTGCCAACCAACCCCGGAAGCCAATCTTCACGGTGTTCTCAAAATTGCGGACCCGCTTTTGGTCGGCGAAAGGGAAGCCAACAGGAAACCAACCATTTTCGGGGTCCACGATGCTCACGCTTTCGCAGTTGGGTTTGGGGTGGTCAGTCGGCTTCGTTTTGACGAGGACCTGGTGATCGATGCCAAGGACTTCGGGAACCTGTGCCGCCTGATCAACCACAGCGAGGACTCGACTCCACGGAAATTAGGCAAATCGAAAAGCTAGACTTCAACCTAGGGGACACCCTGGGTTTAAGTCCACCTTGGGGTATTTTTTCAACATTCGAATCGTGGAAACCAGGGTTGTTGCTCTTTTTCATGTTTAAACAATCTTCCTTTGGTCCCTTTTTGCGGGGTTTCAGGATTTGGTGCACCAGTCCTGGTGGGTTTCCTTCGATCGGCTGCAAGGACTGGAACGCGGAGCTGGTGGCGGTGCACCACGAGAACATGCTCCACGTGGTGTGCCGCGCGGCGCAGGACATCGCACCAAACCAGCAGAGCCTCGTCTTTTTCAGCCGACCCATTTGTTTTGACCCATGACTTTACGTGGCTGGGGGTCAAAAATCAGGACCCCTCTAGGCACCAAAAGGCTTACAATGTTCGTACATCTACCTTTGAAGGCTGTCAACATCGCCTTTGGAAAGGCAACTTTGTGAGTTCCTTTGGGTGGGGTGTTTCGACAGCACATGTGGCCCGTCTCTTCAGAAAAGTTGAAGACCTCTGGGAACCATGGCAAGCACTTGATAGCAGGGAGGCCATCCGGGAGCCCAATGACCAGAGCGAAACGCGCAATTTTGCAGCAGCCTCGTGGCAGAGCAATGGAAATTGTGTGCGGCAAATTGGCGAGTTTGTGTTGTCTTGCATTTTAGTTGGCCATTTGGTTGGCAAAAAGGGCTTTTGGTTCTAGGGCTGCACGCATGCTGAGGATGTCATATAGGGCCCTCTTCCTTGTGTGGTGGCCTTTTGGATCTAAGATGTTTGATTGCATTCAGCTCAGGATCTTGATCCACTACGGGCCGGGCTACTGGTGTGCAGAGGGTCGCCAGGGCCAATGCGTCGACCTATGATCACGTGCCAATCGGTGCACTATGGCGATGGGCCAGGTGCCTTTTGGCACCGCTAGGCCTGGGGATGGCTCGCGTGGCCAGCGACCACGGCGCTGGACAAAGTCCAGGGCCTACAGGGGACCAGCGGCCCCTGTCGGCCTGCCGTGCTTACGCTCGCCGGGCCAACGAAGCAAGCGGATGCCGGCTTGTGGATCGCTTCAAGCCCAGCCTTCCGGTGATCCTCGGCCCAGAGCACGAGGTGCCGCTGCCTGCATTGAGCCATGCCAAGGCTCTGGCAGAGAGGTCGCGTGCGGTGGCGTGCGGTGGCGTGCTTGCTCACGCAGGTGCGCTCTGTGGCATGGGTAGGCGTGTTGGGCGAACTGGACCCGAAGGTGAAAGGCAGGGAAATGCCGAATGGGTGCCAAGAAGCCTATCATTTCTGGTTTTCCGATCCAGGAAACCGCAACTTCCTGTCGTAGTATTACTTTGACTCGAAGAAACCATCATGCAAGCTTTGTGAAATTTCTGGGTGACCTGATGCAGTGGTCGGAAACTGGAAGCCCTAACGAGGGCTTCGACGCTTCTTTCCTCCGGCGGCGACCGAGTCTCTCCGTTCTTGGCGAGCCAAATGTGGAAGGCGTGCTTTCGGCCAGCAGCATACTTTTTCTTGACTGCTATTGGGTTGGATCTTTAGACTTTAACTTTTTGGGAAATAAAGGTGTTTTCCACTAAACCCCCAAAAAGTTAAACTTTTTGCAGGGGGTCAACAGCAACCAAGTTGTGTTTCCATCCTTCATCATTTTGGTTTAAGGTCAAACTCGGCAATTCATCTATCCTAGCCAGTCAATCCAGGTCAGTCCAAGAATGAAGGTGTTTGTCAAGGGTGCCACCCTCGTTTGGATGCAATGTTCAAATGCGGCCCAAAGAGAGTCACTAAACTTTTTGGGATCCGTCAAGGGAGATTCCCTACAAATTCAGGGGAGCCTCAGCGCGTTCTAATAAATCAAATGGGTTCCATTCTGCGCCAAAGGACAATTATGCGTGCAGCATCCTAGAGCCCGTCTGCTAGAACCATTAGGGTCGCCCGAGCGCAACCTTGTTTGCCCGATCAAAAGGACCAATCTCTGCTTCGACTGGTCGCGGAAAAGGATGGGCTGTCAGGCTGTTGCGGTAGGCTTGCGAAGGTTTGTGGCTTACCGTGTGGATCAGTTTGGCTCAAAGTGCGCCGCGCGCCTGCCTCGTGCGCACTGCCCCGCACCTGAAGCCGGCCCGCGCCTCAGACCTTCAGACGCGGCCCCAGAATTTCGCGGGTCAGACGAATGCAGATACCTGGCTTGTGGTGGGGTGGGGAGGTTGTGGGGCATGGCCTCCCAAAATAAAGCAACCATCTCGAAATGTCCCGGGTCCCAACCATTCGCCGGCGCTGATTGAATGTATTGGCCGTCACTCACGGCCCAGGGGACCCGGGGCCCATGATGCGGAACGCCCTCCTCGCGCTTCTGCCGCTGGCGGGCGCGGAGGCGGCTCACGCGGGAATTTCAACCAGTGTGAGACCAACGGAAGGCCTTCCAAATGACGAGCTTTCTTCTTTTATGGGTGGGGTGCCTTGGCTGAGCACAAGATGTGTGGAAGGGATCTTGTCCTCACCGATTCGGGGGGGGGGGGGGTAAAACAAGCGAAAGCCATGAGGGTTGTTCAAAGGGAAGGCAAATGGAACCCACCTTTTTGCGGGTTGCTTGGGAAGGCCTCCAGAGACGGAGTTGGTTGCTCTCCCGTGAGCCGAGGCCATTTTTCAAACATGGGAAACATGTGGCTATGAATTTCAACAGGAACATTCAACAATGGTTGGTGGACGTGAATCCCCATGTAGATAATTACTGATAAAGTTTGTTTGTAAAGGCGCCGTTTGTCCACTGCCATGTTTGGAAAACAGGTACCCACATTATGGGCCCCTTAAAGGAATACACGAGCCACCGCCTGTATCCGCTGATTTAAAGGTTTGTACATGTACCAGATGGCTTGTCGGTGCGTCCTTGAAGCGACCCTGCATATCCACAGTACCCAGCTGGCCCTTCTTGCCTTCTTCAGAACGTCACCGTGCCCTACACAGCGCCCGACCAGTCGGGCTTGCACTTTGTAGAGACCTTCGACGGTGACGCGCTGAGCTCAGCAGTATTCAGCGCCACCAGATGAGTCAAGTTGTTCAACATCCTTGGAGATTGGGTTTCCAGTCTCTCCGCAACCTGGTCTAAATGTCAAGTTCGCGGTGGGGATGTAGAAAACAGAAGGTGTAGATGTTCCTGCAGTTTGGACTCGGGCTGCGCAGGGCAGTTTGCTTTCTGCCAGGGTGTTGCCGAACATTGGGGATGGGCGGTTTGCTTCTGGTCGCCTTCTTCAACCATCCATATCATCCATCAGGAAACCGGGGAAGGGGGAAGAGGGTAATTGGGGGGTAGGGGCTCCCCATCCCTTTTGGGGGGACACACCCTGCACAGCAATTGGCTCAGGTGTGGTCCAGGTGGAAGCATTCCACCTCAGCTGCCCGGCTGGTTGAAAATAGGAGGCTCAGGGGGAGTGTTCGTCCAGGTGAATGCGTTGAGACCAACAAAGGGGGCCCTGCATGGGCGGCTGTTGGTTTCCCACGTGTTTCCCCTCGAGTCAACTGCGATTTGCTTCGCTCCATCGCCCGCGCGACTCAGGAGAAGTACACTAGCAAGTTTGTCGTGGACACCCGGGCCAAAGAGGCGAGGCTCTTAGCATGCGAGAAGCGAAGATGTGGCAAACAAGCACCCAAGGGCAGATTCCCGGGGTTGCCTTGATAAAAAGGGGCCAGCCCCTTTTTCTCTGAGTGTGTTTTCCCATCTCCCAAACAAGGAAAACACAAAGCTCCCCTTCAGGGGAGCATACTTGGGATTCGACCACAGGGGAGCAGACCTATGTGCCCAAGCTTGCCGGTTCTCAGGGTCGAGGGCCCGACAAGCACCAGCCAATTGGTTTACAAAGTTTACTTGGGATCCCCAGCAGGGCCCTTCAACAACCAGGCAATTGGTTTACTTGGGATCCCCAGCGCGCTTAAGAACCCTCCAGCGGGCGGATTTTTGGGGGATCCATCCCGAAACCGAGAGCTAAGTTCAACCATTCGCCAGGCGCTGGTGGGGGACCTTGCGCTGAAGGTGCCGGAGCCGGCCCGGCACTACGGCGCCGCGCCGGGCTCGGATGCATCGCGGCCGAGCAGATGCCCGATGCGATCCGCCCCAAGTGGATTCGGGGTCATGTTTTCTGAGGGTTCCTCGGATCGGTTTTGAAGGGAACACCAGGTTTGGAAACTCTATTTTAGCGCCTATTCGGATTGCTTAGACTAGACCCTGGGTCAACAAAGCCCCGGTTGATCTTGTTTGGGGCAAGTCTCCTTTCAGGAAGCCTTCACCTTTGAGGGCGCCCCCCCTCCGTATTAATCCGACCGACCGACCGACCGACCAACCCAACCAACCCAACCCAACTAACCGGCCCAACCAACCAACCAACCAACCAACCCACCCGCCCCACCCACCCACCCACCCGCCCACCCACCCCCAACCAACCAACCAACCAACCAACCAACAAACCAACAAACCAACAAGCCAACCAACCAAGCCAGTGTTTTGCATTGGGAAGTCATGGCAAGCACGTGGCCCCGGGCGCGGGCCGCTGCCGCAGCAAAATGCTGGAGAGGCCCACAGAATGGGTACACAGGTAGATTCAAGATTGCCAAAAGGAAGTCCAGACCACACTGGACCTCAAATCCTGGACCCCTTTCGTTATTGAGTGCTTTCTTGTACAATTCATGAATAAAACCAGGTGGACCCCTCAATCATTGTAGCTTTGGACCTTCAAAATAGGGCTCACCAGCTACGCGCCCTTTGCATTTTGCGGCCGGGTTTGGTTTCGTTGCCGACGTCGATGGCATTTTTCCTGAGGCGGTGAAGTTCCCGCCCATCTCTGGGGACTCCTTCGCAGTACAGCGAGCGGCCGAGAGTGATGCCCTCGAACCTAAAAACAACACAACGGAAGCTGATTAATGAATAAAGCTCCGAAGCAGCCAATCAAGCCCATCAGGGGGAAACGCTTCAACCAATCAATAAAACTATTGACACAGCAACGAGCAGCGACCAAAGGCAAGATAAGACAATTGTGGTTGGCATTATTTTTGGAGAAATCTAAAAGCCGACCTGTCAGTAAAATCCTCGAACTGCAGTGGTTCCAAAAAATGAGGGATGGATTGGGGATTCGCCAACTCCATGATTGAATGCGAGTTTAGGTCGCCATGTTCTGCGATCAGGGCTTGTCTCTGACAAATGGGTAGTCACAGGGATGCGCCTGCTAAGGGTTATTTCCCACCATGGCCAACCCTCCGTCTTGCACCGCCAAGGCAATGTATGGAAGACGGGCTCGCACACCCAATGTAAAAAACGGTTTTCCCAAGGGGGTGGGTGGTTGCCAAAGCACATGGTTCCTGGTTGATTCCTCTTCCAGGCCATTGCTTCAGTGTGGACTTTTGCTGCTTCTTCCCACATCACATTTCCGGAACAGGTCAGTTTCCCGACCAACATCCTACAGAAGCTTGGTTCCCGGTTGGTTTCATCCTGCAACTTTCAAAGACTAAGGACGCCAGCAACTTTCCTTTGCCCATGCAAAGCTAGATGTTTCCCCCTCTCCCAGAGATTCTTGTCTAGCCCTTTGATGACGTGCTTGAGTTGCTCAGATTTGTTGAGTGTTTTCTTGGTACAAAATCTTTTTGATTTCCCCACTAGCAAGCCAAAAGGGGATGTATGGCTTGTTTTTCCGGACCGCTTATTGCTCAAAGCAGGACCCAGCGCTTAGGGCGGTGCTGGCCACCCAAGCCGAGGTTCGAGGCCAAGTTCGAGGATGGCCTCACGCCGGGGGCCCAGACCTCTCGACTCCCAAGAGAGTGATTGGCAGAGGTCTGGGCTGAAACAGGGCCCCTTGTAGGAGTTAGTGGAGGCCTCTCCCGTCCGCATTTTGCCATCCGGTCCTAGGGTCCCCCCCACACTTTTGGGCACAATTCAAATACGCCCACTAAAACAGCCTATTTTCAACATTCAAATTCAATCACCCACCCACTCCAACACCAAAAAACACATATTCACACACCCATCTTCATTTCTTACCCCATCTCAACATCACCCTTATGCTCATTCAATAACAACAATCATAACTACATACCACCTCAACAAATCCCACCAAAAAAAAACAAGCTACATACCAACATTTTTCCATTCCCAAGATCGCAACCCCAAGATCTCAATAATTTCTCCCTTGATCCAACCTGAGACCCTTTCCCATTTCCAACAAATACGAACAGTCTAAAAAAGAACGCTATGTTCGCCCCGAAAAAAGGTTAACCAATGGAAAAGGGAGAATTAAAACCGTTAACCCAAATCTTGAAAACAATCCCAGTAAAATATGGATGGCAAAATGCGGATGGGAAAGGCCTATGTAGGAAAGCACCCCCACGGCTTATGCGGGAAAATTAAACTAAAATTACAACATATAAGATCTTATATGTTGTAACTATAGTATAATCAAGAACTGAAACATTCATCTCAATAATAGCTAGCCGCGCTTTCATTATCGCTAAATTCTTCATCCTCGTCATAGAAGTCTTCCGTGCTTAATATATGATAAAATCGGATATGCCATTCTGCCTCTGTTCTGAATGGCATCATTTCCAACAGTGCTCTCATTGCGTCGTAACAACCAATTCTCAAGTGTTTTCTTTTGTCATCAATACTATCAATGAACCAGAGCTGTTTAAATTTATTTTCAATATCATATATGTAGGAATAATTATAGAACGCTTTCAATTCTAAATATATTTCATAATGAGATTTGGTATCATCCAATGCTTCAGTTAAAGTCATTGCCCAGAATGGGTTTCTTTTTACTCTTTCCCAAGTTGGAAAATGGTTTTTAAGAATATCATTATACCTGTAAGGACATATGTCATAACAGTGATATGACATAATATTCAATCTAATTTCCAATGGTAGATTATTAATGTCGCGCATACTTTACTTAATATATTAAGGTAATATTTCTTTAAGCACTTTTTTAGAGAAACTATATATATATTTTTATAGAAATATTTTTACCACTATAATTACAACATATAAGATCTTACATGTTATTATTATATTATGATTACAATTTCAGTACAGGATAATAATTTAATTGACAAATATTACTTCTTTCATACATCATTTTAAAAATAATATTAATATCTCTCACTGTATTTTTAACATTAAACTTTTTATAAATTTCAATATAAAATTTGATATATTCTTTAATATCTTGTCCTTTCTTTTGACTATGACACAACATCAATAATATATCAGCAATCATTACATATTTTTTCTTACTGATTTTAAGAAACTGTTTAACATAATCGTAAGGTGGTATTTTATTTACAGTTAAAAATATCAAAATGTCATCTTCTACATTTCTATTATGTCTTATTTTTTTTCTCAACACACAATTGATTATAGCTTGGTTATCTCTCCAGGTTTTACAATTTTCGCATATATCTTCTTCATCCATTGAATAATTAATAATAATATTCACTATTTCAATAGGCAAATTTAATTTATACAATTCCATATTTTCTTTTTTGAAGTGACAACAATCATAGCATTTTTTATTGATATAATTATTGATTTCATCATCGTTCATTTTCCTCTTATTATATTAAGGTAATATTTCTTTAAATACATTTTCAGGGAAACTTTTAAATCAAGCGAATTATAATTACAACATATAAGATCTTACATGTTGTAAGTATAGCAAAACTATGGTATCAAAGGCTTTAATCTATGTATTTCCAGGGGTTGTATTCGTTTCTTCTGTTCCTTCCTTAACTCTTTTGTTGCTTTTACTTTGTCTCTGCATTCCTTACATGTTTTGTAAAATATCTCTTCCATTTTAATTCTGTCATACATTTTGTGAAAGTCCTTTCTTGGCTTTGCTTCGTCGCATTTACTGCAAGGATAAACCATTGTGCATCCTGTTTCTTCTTCATCATCTGTAGAACTCATAATATTAGTTATGCCAATATGTCTTTAAACGGATTTTCAGAGAAAAATGTTTTCAATCAAGAATAAACCCCTGTATCTTCATCATAGTCAATTTGATAAAATGTCATAGTTGAAGCCTTCGGTTCTTTAATTTCTTTGTTATTAAGTTTGTTTAAATAAATATTTCTTTTATTTTTATATTCACCATTGGTTCGATCTACTTCTTTACTTTGATAACTGTTTGTTAACGGTTTCTTCTTTTCCATTTCTTGCAAGATTTCTAAAATATTCTTATTCTGTTCTAAAACCTTGTTCAGTTTTTTAACCATCTTTTCTAATCCTTCATCCATGTAAATATATATATTATATTATAAAATAAAACTTTTAAAACTAAATGTTTAAATTATGTTAAATCTACTTTTTAATTACTAATTTTTCATCATTTGTTTAATAGTTTCCTGAGTTTCCTTATCACCATTATCGGATGGAGTAACTCCCCTCCCAAAGCGTATAGCAATATTATGAACATCTGTTTCTAAGTTGATACTGTCTTTAGTTTTATCAATATTCATTTTTTTATCATTCTTACTTAGTTTGAAACTTGTCGGAATACACGAACATTTACAGTTTCCTTTCTTTTGAATTTCTAATTCATTTTTCATTTCTAATATTCTTTTACACATTGGACAAGCAAACTCAATAACTGATGTTTCTTTAACAATTTCTTCTTTTTCTTCATCAGTTGAAGAAACAACTGGTTCAGTCTTATTCTTTTTCTTTCTTCCCATTTATATTAAGATTTACATTTTTATTTTTGATATATTGTATCACAAACTTAATTAATTCTAAAATAAAATAACATATTTTTTTACATCTATTATCAGTTATAACAACTTGTTCTATATTCTCTACTTCATCTATTATATTGATATAATCTGAATAGCTTCTATTCATATAAAATAATCAATATAAAATATTTTCTAAATAACTTTAATATTATTTTATTATGTCAGATGTTCCAATAATAAAGCCAATAAACATAACTGAATATGAATTCAAACAATCTAAATATGAGCACGTGCCAAAATTACCATTTAGAAGTATTATAGTTGCTTCTTCGACAGGTGGCAAAACAGTCTTGGTTCAGAACCTTATCTTAAATGTTTATAGAAATTCATTTGCAAGAATATTTATATTTTCCCCCAGCGTTCATAATGACCCAACCTTTACAGAAGTTAAAAAATATATCAGGGATGAATTGCACGTGGATGATGAAAAAGAACAAATTTATTTTGATAATTATAATCCAAGTGATTTAGAAAATGTAATTGAAAGACAGAAGAAAATAATTAATTATATGAAATCTAAAAAGATAAAGAAACTACATTCAATATTAATCGTTATAGACGATCACGCCGACGATCCTAAATTTGTTAGATATAGTAAATTATTACATGGATTATTTACAAGAGGTAGGCACGATGCAGTAAGCGTAATTTGTTCAACACAGAAATATAATGTGTTGGCGCCTATCATTCGTTTAAATGCCAGTTCATTATATATTTTTAGGTTGAAAAATGCCAGTGAATTAATGAGTTTTATTGAAGAAAATAGCGCCATTGTTGACAAACAGCAATTATTAGATATGTATCATCAAGCCGTTAATTTTGCTCCATATTCTTTTTTCTACGTGAATATGAATTCAAAAGACATTAACAAAATGTTTCATATCAATTTTGAACAGGCATTTCAAATTACAAATGATGAATAAAGATATTCTAATTTAATATAATATAATAATATGCTAATGAAACTATGTAGATGTGGTGGATTTTATCGTAGAGGTAATTATAATTTTCATACTAATTCTTGGATACATAAACTTTATAAGGCATTGAAAAGACGACCAACAGACGAGGAATTATTAAGATTTCAAAATAATTTTGTTGATGAAGAAGATTTAATAGATGATATGTGTAGCAACGCCTCAACAAAATTACCCGAAAGTGAAATGACAGATTATGATAGTAATTAATAATATTAATGTATGTTAATATTATCAATTTAAATTAACGAAGCATTGCAAAATTGTAAAGCAGGAAGTTTATATATTAATTTGTCAGATTTTTCTTTTTCTAATTTCTCAATTCGTGCCACACATTCTTGAATAGATTTTATTATTAAAGTATCTGCTCTTGTCTTTTCATCTACTCTTAAATTCTTAATGTCTTCCATACTGTTATTTTCATCGTCTTTACTTTGACCAATACCCATTATATAATATTATTTAGATTTTAATTTTTCAAAATTATCTTTTTGTTTTTCTTCTTCGTCTTCTTCTTCGTCTTCAGTTGGTGCTGGTATTTCTGTTGGACTTTCAGATGAAGAACTATGAACAGTAATAGGTGGAGAACTATGAACACTAACAATTTCATTAGAAGAACTACTGCTACCTTGTGCATTTCCTGCTGTTATTTGATTGACTAAATCTGCGATATTTATTGTTGTTGCAATTGCGCTATGTGATAAGTTTAATATTATATCTGCTACTGTAGCGCCGTTGTGTAGCATTATTTCTATCATTTTTGTCAGTTTGAATCTTTTTTCTTCTTCATCGCTGTCCTCCTCGTCTGGTGGTTTCTTTGGCGGTGGTTCTGGTGGTTTGTTGTTGTCAAGCATTGTAGTAAAGGCTGACACCATTGTGTCGCGTTGGTTTTTCAGTGTTTGTGTTGCTTGCGTTCTTGTTGGTTCATGTCCTTTGTATGCGTTGTGCCAAACGTTTTTAAGCATTATTTTAAACATATTATCTTGGTTTTCCTTTACCTTAAACGCTTCAAATGTCATA